TGTTGTCTTTTCTTCTTTTAACTCCTCCTCCCAGATTTTTTTGTCGTTGCTTTTAATATCCAGTCTGAAATAGAGTTCTGGAGAATTCAAAAGCTCCCTTGCTATCTCTATACAACTGGCTTGTTGTAACAAACCTATTGCTTATTGCAGCTTCACAATAAATCTGCTACATCTTCTTTTTGCAAAAGACAAACCTCTGGATTTATTTATTTTTAATGAACATCTTTATTGAAGAAGTTGCATGTGAAAGGATGAATTTTATAGCAAAGTAACAACGAAACAAAACACCAGTACCACCTTTCAGTCGGTATCTAAACTTGGTAGTACAGTAATAGCTTATGAGCTTGTGGGTGCCAGACCTCTAAATTCCTGCAACCAGCCAATGTTAACAGCTAATCCAGCCAGGCCTAGCCTCCTGGTGAGGTGCAGAGACCACAGAAGGTAGAAAGCCAGAGTTGAGAGTTATCAGTTAGGTGAGCTAGAAGCTGGGTGCAGCAAAAGTGGCAGGCTAGAAAAGCAGAAAGAGAGGGAGCCATGCTTGAATCTCTGCTTGAATCCAAGGCTGTGAGCATTCCTCTTGGGATGCTGATGCTGTGAGCCCTCCATAGTAGGCTCAGGTGGTATATATGACGTGTCTATTGGTTTGCTTTGTTTTTGTTTTCATTCCGCATTTTTTTATCTCGCATTTTTATGCTGCGAACCGTCCTGAGATCTACAGATGAAGGGCAGTACAGTGGTACCTCAGGTTAAGAACTTAATTCATTCTGGAGGTCCATTCTTAACCTGAAACTGTTCTTAACCTGAGGTACCACCTTAGCTAATGGGGTCTCTTGCTGCCGCCACGTGATTTCTGTTTGTATCCTGAAGCAAAGTTCTTAACCCAAGGTACTATTTCTGGGTTAGCGGAGTCTGTAACCTGAGGCGTCTGTAACCCAAGGTACCACTGTATACCAATTTAATAAATAATGATGATGATGATGATAATCACAGGCTCCACAGTGCCTCATTTCCAAAATGAAATGAATGCCCAGAACAGGGGTCAGCAACCTTTTTCAGCCGTGGGCCAGTCCACCGTCCCTCAGACCATGTGGTGGGCTGGACTATAATTTGTAGAGAGAAAATAAACGAATTCCTATGCCCCACAAATAACCCAGAGATGCATTTTATATAAAAGCACACATTCTACTCATGTAAAAATGCGCTGATTCCTAGACTGTCTGCAGGCCGGATTGCGAAGGCGAATGGGCCGCATCCGGCCCCCCGGCCTTAGGTTGCCTACCCCTGGTCTAGAACCTATGGGTGAGCGCCTGGAACCCCTGGAATCTCACCCCACTTGGAGACTGGGGTGGTGTGCAGCAATAGACCTGAAATTTACAGCACAGAACAGCCCCCACTGCAGAGGAAAAAATATTATCAGTCATCACCTAATTTCCCCTTCGACACTTTACTTACCTAGTACAGTGCTACCTCGGGTTAATTACTCAATTCGTTCTGGAGGTCCGTTCTTAACCTGAAACTGTTCTTAACCTGAGGTACGGTACCACTTTAGCTAATGGGGCCTCCCGCTGCCGCCACATGATTTCTGTTCTCATCCTGAAGCAAAGTTCTTAACCCGAGGTACTATTTCTGGGTTAGCGGAGTCTGTAACCTGAAGTACCACTGTATCTGAAAAATCGTCCTCACCTTGAGGGCAGAGGAGTAGCAGGACTCTCTTCTCCACTGGGTCAAAACATGGATAGGAGTGGGCCAGGGTTTCCTGACCACATTGCAGGACAAGGGATCCCCCTAGATGTTTCTACACCCCAAGCTGTTTCCATCTCTACTTCTGAGGCAGAACCTGTCTTTGGGCAAGTACTGCCCTATGGAGGTGAACACCCTAACAATATTAAGTTAATAATCACTCATGGAAAACAAACTTATTTACCATATTCCACGAGAACAGACCTGTCCCTCATTTCTAAGGCTAGCAGAAAGCCTGCATAGCTTTTAGGCAGGCTACTGAGCCACAGAAATATTGAGGACAGAGGGAGTCTTGAGATATTTCAGGCCACTTCTGTGCATTTTTACCTTTAGTCAAAAAAGGGTCACATATTTCTTCTATGTATGGTGAAACAAGCAAAAAGATGCAGAGACGTTTGCAACTCCACTACATTTGTTAAAAACAAACGTTAGGAGCTCTCCTGTCGTGCCCACAATACATGAAATCTGGCTCTCTGACACTACATTGACCACACCTATTGGCCCTCAAGGCTGAGTTTTGGGGCTGGATTTGACCCAGAACTCTCTATATACATATGTCCCGCAGAGGACCCTAAGGTCTATGAATAGTAATAGCTTAAAGGTTCTGGGCCCTAAAGCAGCCAGACTACCCTCCACCAGGGCCGGGGCTTTTTCAGTGACGGCTCTGACCTAGTGGACTGCTCTGTCCCATGAGACTAGGGCCCTGCAGGACTTGATCTCCATCCGCAGGGCCTGTGAGACAGAGCTATTCCACCTGGCCTTCAATTTGAATTAGCCTGATCCTCTAGTCCCTTTTCTTTTCTATGAAGAAACCCTTCTGGGACCCCACATTTAAACTCTTCCCTGGTCTCCTTGCTGGCCCTAGTAGGACCAACCTGGCCAGTTAGCCCTGGTGATCATTTGATGTTGATGGATTGGGGGTTCCCCCCCACACACAAAATGACCCCTGAATTTTATTGACATTGATGCTGTATTTATGTTGTATTTTATGCTGTTTTTAAGTTGCATTTTAATCAATGTTTTATACAGTGGTACCTTGGGTTAAGAACTTAATTCATTCTGGAGGTCCGTTCTTAACCTGAAACAGTTCTTAACTTGAGGTACCACTTTAGCTAATGCGGCCTCCTACTGCCACCACGATTTCTGTTTTCATCCTGAAGCAAAGTTCTTAACCTGAGGTACTATTTCTGGGTTAGTGGAGTCTGTAACCTGAAGTGTCTGTAACCCGAAGCATCTGTAACCCGAGGTACCACTGTATTTGCTGTTAGCCGCCCTGAGCCCGGTTTTAAACTGGGAAGGGCAGGGTATAAATAAAATTTTATTATTATTATTATTATTATTATTAATAATATTAATGCTGACTCATTCTTATAGGATCTTGACGCAGTGCAGGACTGTTCTTGAACTGTATGTGCAGGTAGGAACAGTCCACTGAGGAAAGGTGGCCTTGTGGTGAGACTGTTTTTGTCCCGTCCATCTTGACGCACTGCAGTCTCCTGGAACATGCTGGTCCTGTGTGTGCCTTCCAGCCACAGTTGCATTCACTGATCAGTGAGCTTCTCCTCCAGCATCACAACCCACCGACAGAATGAATGTTGATTGTGACTTTCTAGCTTTCCAAAACTCTGTCTGAAGAGAGCCGATGTCCTGGTGACAGGATTTTACAGAGAATTACATGGGGTGTGCGTGTGTGTGTGTTTTAAAGTGCTCCAGTTCCTGGGGAAGAAGCCAGGGCCTGAAGATGAAAAAGGAAAAACACCTGCCCCTTTGAATGTTTAGAAAGAAACAAGGGGCATAATAGAATCGCAGCCTGCAGAACGTTCCCAAGTTCTGGTCATGGAAAATCCTGGCCTTCAGCATGTTTTGTGTCTGGGGCACATCGAGATTGGTGGGACAGAATACAGGGGAGTCCAAATGAGAGGTGGAACCTAAGCAAAGGACATTCAGAGTCAACTAATGCTAGTTTTGCCCCCATCCTCTTCCCTGCTGAGCTCTACAAGGAAGACCCGGAGACTAAAAAGCTGACAGCCAGAACGATCTCATGAATAGGTTAGAAGACCAGTATAAGAATTCAGGGTTTAAAACAGGGTTTATTTTATCGGGGAAGGCTTTATGGAGGGGTGGGGCAGAACAGAGTTATCTGGGACGGAATTATTATTATTATTATTTGTTGAATTTATATACTGCCCTATACCTGGAGGTTTCAGGGCAGTTCACAGAACAAAATCAATATATAAAACCACAAAATATATAATCAAAATAAAAACAATAACCCAATAAACCCCCCCCAAAGAAAACCACATTTTAAAGGAGCATAGGATGCTAAATCAAATCAACCAAAGGCCTGGTTAAAAAGGAACGTTTTTGCCTGGCGCCTAAAGGTGTATAATGAAGGCACCAGGAGAACTTCCCTGGGGAGAGCATTCCACAGATGGGGAGCCACTGCAGAGAAGGCCCCGTTCTTGTGTTGCCAACCTCCGGACCTCTCGAGGAGGGGGCACACAAAGAAGGGCCTCAGAAGATGATCTCAGGGTCTGGGTAGGTTCATATGGAAAGAGGCGGTCCTTGAGGTATTGGTCAGTTAGTTAAGTATCTTTATTTATTTACTTGGTGGGGAGCAATTGCACCCCCCTGGCTAGGCCCATGGTTGGGGAAGATGTGGTGGTGTTAGCAATTTATTAGTGTCTGCTTTGGCATGTGCCAATGACCCTGCCTTCTAGTGTGGTGTTCTGGTCAGAGGCAGGGAGGGCTACTGAAAATCTCTGCGTACCTTCTTGAAGGTTTCAGGAACCACGGCTCCCTAGGCTTCCACTGAATCAGAACAGTGTCTAGGTTGCAAGAGGGCAGAACTGGGAGCCCTAGAGATGCATGGGTCATGCACAGACCCCTCTGATGATATCACGTAAGCAGATGAAGTTTACATACACACCTTGACATTTTCATCCATGGAGTTTAAATCACCTTCTTTTGCACTACTGATGCAAATATCTGGCTTGTATGAATGCACAGGGTAAAATGGAAGAGAGCAAGTTGCATCGTGACAATGAGCATCCTGGCGAACGTAGGTTTGACATGTCCAATTGAAATAAACTGAAGCGAGTCCTGCTTCAGATCTCCTTGCAGACATACCTGTCACACAACTTTACATTTCTCTAAGCTGAGCACCCGCTGCTTAGCAAGCCATTTCTTTGCACTCTCAACTCCGCCTCCTCGGCTGTCCTTTGGCTGGTAGCTTTCTTCGCTTCCAAGTGCTGCACAGGCCACAAGGTACACTCAACAGTCGATGGTTTGACCCCAGTGACAAAACTCACCGACAGCGTTGAATGTTCCACGAGACCCTCTCTTTTGCTTCATGTACGAGAGAGAAAGAGAGGGACAGACAGACAGAGAGAAAGGTGGACGTTAAAACAGGTGATGATGAAGCAGATTGTATAGGATGCTGTATTAGCCTCAATGCTACACACAGGAGGAAAAAACAAAAACAAAGCAGACCTACCTTTCAGGGCTCTTGCAAGAGTGAAGGAAATAAGAGATGTATCACCATAAACGTTCCATTCTGCAGCCTCGGCTACTTTGCAGAATTGTGAGCAGGCTCACACAACTCTTTTTGTGACAGAGACACTGTGGTTTTTAACAGCTATAGGATGGGCAACAGAAAAACCCAAACCATCTTAGTCTGGCAAGGGCAAACAACATCACCTCTTGAATTTCTGCCTGCCATGTAGCTGTGTGTAGATGACATCTAAGCCGGGGAGCCACTCCTTGCAACTCCCTCTGAGTTCCCCTTTATGTAACTCTTGCGCCAAGCAAGCCAACTGCCCTTTGGGGAAGTTGAAGAAGCTGGTTTGTTGTTTTCACTGGGGGATGCTGATGAAAGGAAAGCTCTCAGCCTTCTTTGGATCAGGACCACTGGCTGTCATGTGATTCTCTGGCCCCATATCTGCACAAAATTATTATCCCAAAATATAGACGTGCTTTTACACTTGCAAGACTGGATGTTCTACCATCTGCGGTACTTGAGGGTCGATTCCAAAAGATCTGAGAAACGTCTTTGCCCCTGTGGAGACGGTAGCACCGAAACAGTGGCACACATCCTCTTGTCCTGTACTCTCTACAAAGACCAGAGGAATGAGATCATCACCCCACTAATACTAACCATCCCAGGGCACTCAGCCACTGCCACAATGTCCTTTCTTCTATCAGATCAAAATGAGCAGATAACAGCAAAGGTTGCTAGGTTCATAGCAGGGGCAATCAGAATAAGGGCCACTAACTGACTGCTGATTCAGGACTTTAAATTGTGCTCTTATATCAAATTTCCCTTTCTGCGTATACTGTAATGTTTTATTGTTGCTATGGCCATTGGCTAATGCGAATAAAGTTTTATCATGTCATGTGAATACAGTGGTACCTAGAGTTACAACCACCTCAGGTTACAAATGCTTCAGGTGACAAACTCTGCTAACCTGGAAGTGTTACCTCGAGTTGAGAACTTTGCCCCAGGATGAGAACGGAAATTGTGTGCTGCCGGCACAGCGGCAGCAAGAGGCCCCATTAGCGAAAGCATGCCTCTAGTTAAGAAGTTTCAGGTTAAGAACGGACCTCTGGAACGAATTAAGTTTGTAACTAGAGGCACCAATGTAGGCTCATGCAACAATGAGATGCTCAGTTTTTTTGGTGCTGGCTGCAACATAGTGAGGAAAGAGCCAGTTGCAGCATCAGTCTTAGGGCACCCAGCCTCTGCCCTGTGTCTGGATGCCACCTTTGAGAGAGAGAAATAGCCAGTGTGATTCAATGGGCACAACATTGGACTAGGACTGGGATTTTGTTCCTTTCTCGCTTCATATCCTTTCCGAGAGCAATTGCAGGGCAGCTGCCCTTTTCACAGCCTAATCGACCTTGCAGGGTCATCTTGAAGGCAAAGAGGGATAATCTCATGAAAATCATGTTGTGAGGATAAAAGGACATTGCTGGGGGGGGGGGCAGGGTGGTGACATTGAGCATCCGGGAGGAAGGGGAGGGATACAAATGTGAAGTAGAATCCAGGACTGGACAATGTGCAGAGGGATAGTCCGTGTCATGCAAAGCAAGACCAGCTGGCTGTGAGGCAGGAAAGGGGGCAAAATCCACCCCTTATCCCAAACACTGAGGGTCACCAGAGACAAGGAGCACGTTCAGTCTGCACCTGTAAGGTGTCCTCCCCTTTACTTACCTCTCCTATATGAATGGCTGCTGTTCAGCCCTATGGAGCGGGGCAGAGGATAAGGGAAAACCCAACCCTCTAGCCCCAAGAGCAGGTAGCCAGCCTCCCTCCCCCCACCTCAAAAAACCAGCAGACCTTCCTCTGCCACAGCCACCACCTTCCTCCACACAACAACAAAGATTTTGCTGGCAATAAACAAATGGCAGCAGTGAACTGCAGACAGCCAAGCAAGGCAATTTGTAGGAAGAGACGAACCAATTTATTATGGCAATCAGCTCGGGTCCACAAAAGCTGATTGCCATAATAAATTTGTTAGTCTTTACGGTGCCACAAGGCTCTCATTTTTGACGCTGCCAGATAACATGGCTCTTGCAGGGAGCCTTCTGGAAAATGCATCAGGAAAGCCACCTTCTTCCCTTCTCCTAGGCAATCAGTCTCCCTCTTCCGGTGTCATCTTAGGTGGGAGCTGTGAGGAAGCCCAATAGCCTGGAGATGGACACCTGTGGAGCTTGCAGCCCTATCTTCTTAATATCTTGCTCTGAAAAGAAAGAACACTGTCCCCCCCCCCCCCACACAGTTCACACTCTCTTCACCTCTTAACTCCTAACCAACAGCAGCCAACAATAACAATACTTAGCACCCGTACTTAGCATTTCAAAGTGCTACACTAAGAAACATTAACTCAAAGAATCCTCTCCAGGAGCCTGTTGTTATCTTCCCACTGAGACTGAAAGATAATGACTGAGACTGAAAGAGATAGACGTCTTTAAGATTATTAGGGTCGCCATATTTCAAAAAGCAAAAACCCAGACACAAAAGCTGTTAACTTTTTTTGGCTAACACCACCAAAAAATGTTTTTAACTATTTTTTCGGAGGGGGGAGCCAAAAAAAAAAAGCGTGACTTCCCCCATCTCAGTTCTAGAACTTTGCTGGCTGTACAATGAAGCTGAGTGTTGCAAGATTCAGGACAAACAAAATTAAGCATTTCTTTACTTGTTGTTTAGTCGTGTCCGACTCTTCGTGACCCCATGGACCAGAGCACGCCAGGCACTCCTGTCTTCCATTGCCTCCCGCAGTTTGGTCAAACTCATGCTGGTAGCTTCGAGAACACTGTCCCACCATCTCGTCCTCTGTCGTCCCCTTCTCCTTGTGCCCTCCATCTTTCCCAGCATCAGGGTCTTTTCCAGGGAGTCTTGTCTTCTTGTGAGGTGGCCAAAGTATTGGAGCCTCAGCTTCAGGATCTGTCCTTCCAGTGAGCACTCAGGGCTGATTTCCTTCAGAATGGATAGGTTTCTTTACTATTCTTCACTATGGAATTCACTAAACACTAAACAACTTAAGATGGCAAATTCATGGAGAAAGCTAAGGATAGCTTTTCTTCTGCCCTTTTGATACTGGCTTGCTTAAGGCCACCAGGTGATTTCATGACAGGGCTAGGATTTGGACTCAATACTTCCTGGTTCAGTTTCAGCAGGCAAAAATTCTATACAGGCTTACCTGATGGTTGAACACAGCTTGACTTAATTCAGCATACATAGGATTGCCCTGAGACTGTTAGTCTCCCTTCAGATTCTTCCACCTTTTCTCTAAGTGCCTAAAATCTGACATATCTGGGAGTGAGGGTAAACTGACTAGTTGCATAAACTCTACAGGTGAGGATGATTCTTGGCCCTGATCTTTCATCTCTTCAAGAGGTGAGGTTTCAACATCTGCCATATCGGGCAGGTAAGCCTAGCACAGCTCAGCACACCTTAGTGAGTTTTTAGGAGACCCCCATCATCCTCAGAGAGATAACAGTTCTCAGAGTGAACAAACCCTCTTTCCAGGGAACTCTGAGAACTGTAGCTCTGTGAGGGGAATATAGATCTCCACGGGTGGCGCTGTGGTCTAAACCACTAAGCCTTTTGGGCTTGCAAATCAGAAGGTTGGGGGTTCGAATCCCCACGATGGGGTGAGCTCCTGTTGCTTGGTCCCAGCTCCTGCCAACCTAAGAGTTCAAAAGCATGTCCAAGTGCAAGTAGATAAATAGGTACTGCTCTGGCGGGAAGGTAAACGGTGTTTCCATGCACTGCTCTGGTTTCGGTGTTCCGTTGCGCCAGAAGCAGCTTAGTCATGCTGGCCACATGACCCGGATTAACTGTCTGCGGACGAATGCCGGCTCCCTCAGCCTGTAAAGCAAGATGAGCGCCTCAACCCCATAGTTGTCTGCGACTGGACTTAACTGTCAGGGGTCCTTTACCTTTTAACAACTCTAAGTATCCTTAACAAACTACACTTCCCATAATTCTTTGAGGGAAGATATGGCTTTTAAAAGTGATATTATGCTGCTTTAAATGTGCAGTGCTGGCGGGCTCAGGATCTAACCTCCAAGCAAACAAATCAGGATGAATGTTCAATAGACAGTTCATCTGGAACAGGGGTCAGCAACCGTTTTCAGCAGGGGGCCAGTCCACTGTCCCTCAGATCTTGTGGGGGGCCAGACTATATTTTGACAAAAAAAATGAACGAATTCCTATGCCCCACAAATAACCCAGAGATGCATTTTAAATAAAAGCACACATTCTACTCCTGTAAAAACACCAGGCAGGCCCCACAAATAACCCAGAGGTGCATTTTAAATAAAAGGACACATTCTACTCATGTAAAAATGCGCTGATTCCCGGACTGTCCGCGGGCCGGATTTAGAAGGCGATTGGGCCGCATCTGGCCCCCGGGCCTTAGTTTGCCTACCCATGATCTGGAAGCACCCTGCTTCGATGGGGAAGAACTCTCTCTGCCTGAGATTCTCAAGTGCCTCTGCCTGTCAGAGCACAGAAAGATAACACGGGGCTAAATGGACAAATAAAATAGTCTGCCCAGATGCAAGCTGTTTCCTGTTTTCTTGTCTCCCAAGCTGGTCTAATAAACTGCTCACACAGTATGTTGCCATGAGCATGCTATGCAGATAGGCTTACTCACGACAACCATGCGACTGTGGCTCATCGGGCATCACAATGAGCTAACGGGTCTTCAGGGTGCCATGCCACCCTTCTTTTCAGGCTGGTTAGCAGGCCAGCTCCAGCCACACCACAAGGAGAACACAAAACATGGAGCAATGGAACAGGTTGCTGTCCCCAAAGACGGCAGCTTGGC